GATCTCATTGTCTAGCAAACTAGTTTCTCTTTTCGAAATGATTCCTTCTGCAATAAGCCTTCCCATTTTAAAAAGAATAAACATCACATTTTTCCATTCTCGCAGAAACAAGCCTCCTGTTAAATTCTTCAGATTGTAACTTTTTTGTGGCTATATACGGTGTACAAAGAAGAGTTTCAAATTCTGCAAGATCATTCCATTCTGCAGTCTTTCTATTAGTGAAACATTAAATTTATCTATATCTTCTAAAAAGGTTCTTAATTCTAACAAATTATCATCAAATATGTACTTCCTCATCGTGTTGCTTGATCAATAATTGCTCCGTTTCCCTCTCGCCTCCTGAGGAATTGCATCACTTTTGGGAGTCATTGCTGCTTGCCTAAATTTAACAATGAGATCTGTAGCATGGGTACTTATGAAATTTATAGCATTTGACACATTTTGTAGCCATGGGCTCCTTTTTCTTGTTGTGAATTATGCTTCAATAATACCATCTATGACATAGGTGGGGAACCTGCGGCCTCCGCAAGGTTCTTGTGCTGCCCTTTGCCACCTAGTACAAAATGGTAGAGTTCGCTTCAAACAACTATTGTACATCAACGCCATGACAGTTGTGCGAAAAATCCCACCAAAGACAGTCATATTGTACATGACGTCAGAATACTAGTCTGAAACAGACTCTAACACGCATGAGCGAGGCTCTGGCCTACAGCTAGCAGCGCCAACTACCTTGTCTAAGAAGTAAACAAAACTCGGTTTCAGATTTCCCATTTGAGTGTCACACCTTGCTTTGGCTTCTCTGACTCGCATCTCTCAACGCTTCCCTGTTGCGATCTTCAGCTAACTGTAGTTAACAGTGCGTGCTTATAACAGGTACACGGTTTTATTGTATTTCTAGAAAGTACACACTTTGTTAAAGATATTATATGATATTCGTTTTTTATCCATCAAGTCAAATAGTAAGAGAAGAAAATTAGGTGATGAAAACAGAACATTTAATGTAGAATGGGAGTTAGATTTTTTCTTTACTGCTGAGAAAGATAAAATGATGTGTTTGTTGTGCAATACAGTTTTAAATACTTTAAAAAAAGCGAATGCAAATAAACACTATTTGACTCATAAAGAACATAAATATTTCGCTTTAGAAGGTGAATCACGAAAAGCTGCACTTCAAAAGTTGAAAAATGAGAAGCATCATCAGCAGGCATCTTTTAGTGCCTTTGTAAATCAAAATTCCGCTGCAGTTGCTGTTACGTATAAAATAGCACATATACTTGGAAAAAGGGGCAAACCATTTAGTGACATTGAAATAATTAAAGAATGTATTGTTGAAGCAGTGAGTTCGTTAGATCCAAGAAATGTTGACAAATACAAACAATTACCTCTTTCAAGAAGAACTGTAACAGATCGACAGCACGAATTAGCGCAAAATGTAACAGAGCAACTTCATGCAATTATACAAAATGAAGATGTTTATTTTTCAATTGCTTTAGATGAAAGCACTGATAAAACAGATTCGGCACAAGTTTTATATTTTATTCGTGCTATAACTAAAGATTTTCAATGTTACGAAGAACTACTTGCATTGGGTACACTAACTGGAAGAACTCGCGGAGCCGATATTTTCGAAAACTTCAAAGAAGTATGTAATAAATTACAATTGAATGTCAGTAATTTAGTCAGTGTCTGCACCAATGGCGCACCTTCCACGAGAGGCAAAAAAGAAGGATTCGTTGCTTTGTTAAAAAAGGAAAACTTAAACTTGAAAAAATTGATATCATTTCACTGCATTTTGCATCAGCAAAATCTTTGCGCAAAATCTACCATTTTGCAAGACACTGTGGATAGAACCATTGCCAACTATATTCGCGTAAATAGAATGCGTCATCGTGAATTTCGGCAGATGCTCTCTTTAGATGAGGAAACGTATAGTGTTGACCTGCCATACTACTGCAAGGTTTGCTGGCTATCAACAGGTCAAGTTTTGATAAAAGTTTTGTCTTTACGACGACAAATTTTAAATTTTATAAAGAACAAGGAAAACAATGTGATCTATCAGATGAAGTATTTCTCAGAAACTTTACATTTTTGTCTGATATGATGACAAAACAAAACAATTTAAATATTTGCCTGCAAGGTGAAACGAGGTATATTTATGAAATGTGGCAAAAGATCCAAGCGTTTAGAAAAAAATTATCTTTTTTCAAAACGTTGCTTTGTCGATCGGAAATATCTGCACAACACTTCCTGGAGCTAGCTAAAATGTTAAATGAGCAGAACTGTGAAAATAAAATATTCGATGAATATGTAGGTGTCTTGGATTGTTTAATAGAAGAGTATACTAATAGATTTTCTGATTTTGACGAACACACTCCTGCTATGAAACTGGCATTTGAACCACATTTAATAGATATATCCGAGGCTCCTGCAGAACTGCAAATGGAGTTAATTGATTTAGGGGAAGATAGTATCATCAAATCCCTTTTTAACGCTAAAAAGGATCCCATAGAAATCTGGAAAAATGCTGTTGAATATCCATGCCTTCGAGAACATGCTCGCTGTTTACTTTCCTGCTTCGGAAGTACCTACTGCTGCGAGACAACATTTTCTCTCATGTCAAAAATAAAAACAAATTTAAGAATGCAAATTACAGATGCACATTTAGAGGATCAATTAAAGCTGTGTGTTACGAAGCTTGATCCAAATATACAATTACTGTCAAACACAAAACAAAGCCAAATAAGTCACTAACTTAGTGAATAAAAAAATATTTTTTATTGTATTTTTTTATAATGTTTTTATGTTATTTTATATGTGTATTATATTTAAAATTTTGTAGTATTATATTTTATTTTTTCTATATAATGCAATAAATTGTTAAATCTATAGAAAAACTATAATAATTTCACAAAAGTCACTTTCTTAGGTCAATCAGCTTATGCGGCCTCTCTTATTGCTGCCTAATTTAAATGTGGCCTCTAATGGTAAAAAGGTTCCCCACCTCTGATCTATGAGCTGGAGAAGTAACTAAATGAATCAGTTTAATGAATAAGGCAAATATCACATCCATCCTCCTCTCTTATATTTATTAATATGTCAATCAAATGGAAAATAACTAAATAGTATTAATGTGTATGATTCAAAAATAAAAATAATGACTCAGTTTGCCATTAATTTTTTTTTCCAAGTAATTTCATTTCAAATTGAAACTGTCAAACAAAAACTGGATTCTGAATCAGAGTCAAAGTATTTTAGCAACTCCAGCTCTGACTCCTTTTACTTTTTTTTTTTTTTTTTTTTTTGTGCACTTTCTTTCTGAGTGAACAATTTCTAGATCCTGAAGAAATTGTATAAAGACTGTTTCATCATTAGTTAAGTCCCAAATTTTCATATCCATGGTAAGTACAATAATAATAAAAAAGAAAGTAACTCTTGCATCTTTAGAATTTGTATTCTTATTGCCAATTTTGAAAAGACATTCTTTTACTTTTTAGAAAAAGTAAATATAGTAGCAACTTTAAAAATGTAAATTTCTTTAAAATTGGCAATTCTTACTAATATTATAAATGCGAATGTGAGTTTGTTTGTTACTCTGTCACGCCTTAATTACTTAACCGATCATCATGAAATTTTCAAGAAATATTTTTGATATATTAGAAAAAGTTATAGACTATAAAATGTCTTCGTACGACTTTAATTAGCCGAGATAATTATTAAAAACTACTTTTCCCCTCCATTTTTCACTAACTTTGTTGGGTTTTTCCCTATTGAAGGGATTTGGCTACTTGCCAATTTATACTTTCACAAATATCTATGGAACGGCACTTAGTTGAATTTCGAGACACATATCCGCTGATTCCAAAAATTCGTCGGAATCCAGCGATACCATTCTCTTCTTCGTACGACTTTAATCAACTGAGATATTATTTAAAAACTCTGAAAACGCTAATTTGAATGCGACTCAATAGTGACATTAGGGATTTTTTCTTGAGTTTTCCTGTGTGGGTCCAATAAATTGGTGATAAAAATTATAACTTTTGATCTAATTATTCAAATTTCTCGAAATTTAGAAACTTGTGTGGCTCTCTGAATGATAGGAACAATGGTGGTGTAACTGTTTTTGTTGCTTAATTATCCAGCTTAATCACAGATGAAACAATACTCCGCTTGATATTGTTAATTCTTTGTTGACAGCTAGTATCCGGTCAACTGTTGGATTGGTGAAAATTCATAGTTCACAGATTTACACATGGAAAATCGTTTTAAAATTAATAACTTCCAATTAACTTACCGATTTGAAACTATTATCAACATTTCGACTTTTGTGATATATTTAATCTTTCGTATTTTTTTAAAGATCTATTCATCCGTGTTATATATTTCTGTTATTGTTGCTTGAAAAATTGCATTTACATTTTATTATGTGCGATGCAAAATTTTGTTTTATCATTTTAAGGTGCTCGAATGTTCTTTATTTTGAAATTTTACACTGAGTGCATTTTTAAAATCCATGCAGAGTTGAAACTTATTTAAGGACATCAATATGAGAGAAGATGCGGGTAAAGCTAGTTTCATGTAAACCAATCTCTTGGCGAATATAGCAAAACATTTAATGGCACCTCTGGTCCCAATACAGAACAGTACCACATTTTACTGCAGAAATCATAAAGCATTTATTTTCAAATAAATGAAAGTGTTTTTTTACTAAATTTACTTTTCTTTAGCAGCCCTTTTAAATGTGTCATTACTAATTTCTTCCAGTTTCTTCTGTTTTTTTTTTCCTGTTTCTTCTATTGTTCTGAAAGAAACCCGATCCTGAGTTTTCTGATTTTTACCTTGCTTGCATCATTTTCTGTTTTTGAAAATTGAATTTAAAGTAATATTTTTTTATATATATTGTATATTTTTTTTATATATTTTGTAATATAATGTGCATATATTATTCAATATTATTTGTAGTTTGTAACATAAATTATTAAGTATACATTTGTAATTTTCAGCCTAGGAGGGTTGCTGCAGTAACTATTGCACAACGAGTAGCTGAAGAAGTGAGAACTGAACTTGGTGGTAAAGTATGTTAATTTTTTTCTCATACTGAATTTAAATTTTATTGTAATATCAGATCATCTCAATTTTCTTTTTTAATGTCAAAGACAGTTCAGGTTTTCCCATTCAAAAACCCTATTCTCTTTTTTTATCTGCTAAATTTGCTTTGTGTTTTTTTCCTGGCTGACCACATTTTCACTGACTACTAACCCTAGAAAAGATGTAAGTAACTTTTTCACTCCTGATTCAGGAAGAATGAAGTTTTCTTGTGGGCCAAATGAATGCTAAATAGCACTGTGTGCCCAGATGCATGTTGCAGTTAAACCTGACATGGAACAATAATTCCTGTAAAATCTGATGTTTGCATATATTAATTGTTATTTTTTATAATATAAAATTCTAGCATTTAAAATTAAAGTTGTAACATAACTTAAAGTGCAATAATAATAATGATTAGATTTATGTATTTACCCATACAATATTAAAGCAAAAATAATTTAAGAATTTAAATAACCATTATCATTATAACCTGTTGTCATATTTATATACAAAATTTTAAGCCACTTGCGTTACGTGAAAATGTCTAAACTTTAAACATGCATTGTAAGCATCACGTGTTTTACATTTATAGAATGAAATAGTTAATAATACTCATAACAGCAAGATTAACATTAAAGACATTTAATTGAGTTTCATGGCATTCTGACATAATGTATGCTAATTTAAAACATCAAATAAATCATAGCATTTCAATGCATCAAATATGATATGGTGGGCCACTTAACTCCAGTATCACATTTGACATGGTGGGCATGTAAAGAAAAACTGAAGTGTATCATATACACTGGGGTGAAGAGCTAAATACTTGCCACTAGCAATTTATGGAAATTTAATAAGTCCTATAAGGAAATCAGTGCGAGGGGAAATAAGTAATAAAGGTATTGCTTTTAAATATTTTTCATTTGCTGTAGATTTTGCACCAGATATATATTTTCAATTTATTTCAATCCATAATTAAACTTGAAATTCGTGAGCAGTTTGTAGCAAAAACTATACAGCAGAATTGCATGAAAATTGGTTAATGGCAGAATGAAATTATGGGAATTTTATCGAGGGGGCGAAAACAATGAGTTTCAGAAACTACCCCTAAGTGGCATATCATAGGTTTATTAAGAACATATAAATAACCTTACAGAAGTTTACAAAACGTATTCAATATGATGGCTACCATTGTCTGCTACCATCTGGAAGCATAAAATTGCATGTTCGACTGTTGAAAGCAGCATGAGCTGGGGAATGTTACCCACATGGCGTTTTATGCTTTAAGATCGGATAGAGATGTGATGGGATTATGGTAGATCATGGCCTTGAGGTATCCTTACAGCCAAAAGTCGCAAGGATTCATGTTGAGTGATCTAGGAGGCCAAGCTGTATGAAATTGCCTGCTGATGAGTCTGTTGTCACCAAAATGTTGGAGCACTTGCTTCACACAGCGGGTGATGTGTGGAGAGCACCATCCTGCATAAACAAAGTGGTTGTGTCACATCGCCTTGCTTCAAGAGCCGGAATAATGGATTGTTCTAATAATGAAGCGTATCGTTGGCTGGTGATGGTCCATGTCACTGGCCCTGTGGCGCTTTGCTCTTCGAATAAACCCGAACCCACAATGAAGGTCACAGTAAAGCTGCACCAAGCCGTTACATGTGAAGTGTGTAATGGAATTTGTAAGAATTGATGGGGGTTTGTAGCAGCCCAAGTATGCCAGTTGTGCGTGTTAACTGCACCTTCCATATGAAAATGGGCCTCGCCAGTCCACAAAATGTTCCATGGACATTCATTCTGGAGCTCAACTCGCGGAAGAAACCGCATTACAAAAATTTGTCGGCTATCCAGATTAGCTGGTAATAACTGCTGCACTAGCGACATTGCTTTTATAGAGATTACAGCCTAAGATCTTTTGAAGAATCTTATGAACCGGGGAACGAAGTTGGTCAATAGATGCTGCAGTACGCAGAACACTAATGCTGTTGATGGTTTGCAGTCTGTCTTCTTCCACTTGCTTCGCTACATCATCTACATCATCCGCTACCTGTGCTGCAACACACTTTTGTCCACTTCTTTTCTGAATCCCCAATGTTCCCATTGCTTCATATTTCCTAATCATGTTTTTTTAGTCCTTGACTAGCGAATCGACCTTTTCGTAACAGTTTCAAAGACCGAAATTTCCGCAAAGTTTCATTAGCAGAGTCTCTGTTTTAGTAAAACAATTTCACCAGTAAAGAATGTTCTTAAAGAGTTAATGTCATCTTCCTTGACTTGGAAATGAGTATAACTGTGGTTCGACTCTCGCGATTTTATATGGTTGCTGTGCACGCACAGGATTATTATGGTTACGACATTTGCATATGCCAATAGTTTACATTGTACAATGCCATCTAATGGTGGTTTTTGAAACACATTGTTTTTTTTTTTTTTCCTCAATAAAATTCCCATCATTTTGCCGTTACCCAATTTTGATGCACTTCTGCTGCATAGTTTTTGTTACAGACTGCTAACAAATTTAAAGTTTAATTAAGGGCACCGTGTACTTTCCACCAGATATATTTTTCATTGACCAGTCAAGTGTAATAATTCAATATGTAACTGAGGATGAATTCTCATTTGAAAGGTTTCTTATGTTTTAAAAAAGTACAGGGCAAATTGGAGACAAGCATTTTCATGCTATTTTTAATTCTTGAGAACTACATGGCTTAAAACTTGATGACTGTAGAAGTTAGTCTTATGACAGTTTGGCCAACATGTCTGAAATGTAGTCAAGCTTCCTAGCAAGGCTCAACGACAGAATCCTCTTATTTTCTTCATTTCCAGTTCAGCTCACTTGCTGAAATTAATTGGCTGACAAGCATTGTAATGTTCTGTAGCTGTAATACAGTTTTTGCTTTTTACTTACTAGCAACTTCTTTAAGATTCTGTAGGAAAATAGAAAAATCTTGAAAACATTCTATGATTCTACAAGTATAATACTGAAATTGCCATCGAAAACTCGATGGTGTGTATATGAAGATGCTTGTAAATACCTGATTTAAAATGTCAAAAAATCTACATAAGATTACTGTGTGTGATTAAATTAAAGTTCTGTGTTCCATTTCTTAGAAGGGTGTTGGCTTTAAATAATTAGAAAATCTAGATTAGATTAGACTACACTAGACTGTACAGATTAGAATAATTTTAAAAAATGAGAATAATAAAGTTAGACATGAAGCTGAGGATTTTCTTAGAAAATTATATAATAAAGAGAAGCATATCCGAGAGAAGAATATGTGGAGTTACTTTGCAACAATTTGGCAAAGCGATATAAAAGCTGTAAGCTGAGGATTTGGGCATTTCCATTGATGTTGAAATATATATTCGTTTTACTATGCTTCAGACCTCTTTTTCCATTTACAGAGATTGATCTGAAGAGGAACTTAGGCAGATCAAAAGTTTGGAATCATTTCTGTCTTTAGCTATTGAAATTTTAAGACCAAATCATCAAATTCAATGCCAGAGAATTTTTGATGAATCATCTGAGTATGAAATGCAGCCAAAAAATACTGAAGAAAAAACAGAATCAGGCAGTTTCAAAAATGATCGTGGGGCCTAGAAAAAGATGAAAATATTATATTTTAAGGTCATACAAATTTTTGAGAATAATATGCAGAACAGAGTAAATGTCTGTAAAAAATGTTAAAATTTTCATTTTTCTCACATGTAATTGACCTAGAAGGTGCTAAAATTTTAATGTTGCAGAGAAATGCTAACCATTTATGATTCTGATATAAAAGAAGCTTTGGTGATAAATGTATCCATTTTAAAGCTATCTGTTAGTGACAAGTTATCCTCTCTTCCATTTCTCTGAAGGATGTTGGCTTCAAATAAAATTACTGATTTCTACCCAGCACCCTAGATTTACCATAATACTCCAGCAACAAACTCTATTGCTGAAAGTTTATATTCAGTTTTAAAACAGATTAGGAACTTATGGGCTGAGGAGAGTCCAGCATGACTAGTCAGTCCTGAAGTGCTTGCCATAGGATCAGTTATCATATTCAATTTTTATTTTGAGGAAATGATAAATGCACACAGCTCCCATTGCAGATTTACATCTGACAGATGTCTTGCTTATTTGAGGAAAAAGACTTGTTTAATCTTGCAATTACTGAGGGTTTAATGACAATATTTGGAACTAATTTAGTTTTTTGATAAGTATCTTTCCTATCATTTTATTACACCATAGAGAGAGTTTGACTGTAGGTAGCACTGAGTAGGAGCTTGGAATATTCAAATAAGTATATATTATTAACTTTGTAAAATAATGTGCTTAATAAATAAAAAAATTGTTTTATATGTGCATGATTTCAATGGAAAGAAGGCTCGATGTGCCTTAGAGGAAAAAATAGATACTTTAAATTTTGTGACTTTTGAATAGTCTACTGTTGAATTTTAATATTTGTCTAAGTTGGCATGCATTTGTTACATTTCTTTTCTTTTTTCTTTTTTTTTTTTTTTTTTTTGTTTGTTGATAGGTTGGATATAGCATTAGGTTTGAAAATGTAACATCCAGCGCAACAAAAATTAAGGTAAATTCAAGTAGTTTATTTATTATGTTGCAGCACTTTATTGTTTTTTAGTCTTTGTTATTATGAATTTAATTATAAATTAAGTAGCTCTATGTGTTGGTGTTTCTTTTTACAGAGTGTCAAAAATATTTAATTATCATCCTTTGTTTATATGAAAGTGTTTTGTAATGCAGTAGTGCTGAAACACTAATAGTCTGTACTACATTCACTTCCCTATCATTGAATGGGGATAGCTGCATGAAAAGGTTTGGATTTTCTCATATGTAATGTGAATATGACCCAGTTCCCATAAAAAATTCCTTCATGAAAGTACCCCTTTTATACCAATCCTAGAATGCTTGTCAAAATAGTCAGAAGTATTTTATAGATAAGTTTAGATAATTCTGTCGTTGTGAATTTCTGAAGTGCGGTTTATTATTAAAATTTATTAAAACTTCACAATAATTATTGAAAATGGATAAGATCATAAGACCTCAATATATATTTTTATGACTGTGTAAGTTTATTAAATGTCTTTCGAATGTTTGTCTTAAAGATCTATATAAATTCTTATGTAGGATTTCGAAAGTTCTTTATTTTTTTAGTATCTTACTGATGGTATGCTGCTACGAGAATCCATTGATAATCCCTTATTAGTAGAGTAAGTACATCTATCATGTGACTTGATGAATAATTTAAAATTTTTCCTTAACTAAATCTTTAAGATTTTTATTAGATGACACTGAATTGCATTTGATGTCTTTCATTTCTCTTTTTATGTATGTATGTATCTCTCAAATAATCATCTTGATGAGCACAGAAGCATGGGTGTAATGATCCTGGGACTCTAGTGATCTTTCCTTCTTCTTTTTCCCTTGTCCTCTAGTCAACTGTTTTCTCTTTGAATGTTCTGATTTACTGTGAGTTACAACCCTTGTTTCTATTATATCATGGCAGGTAAAACTTCCCACATTTGCCATGTGTGAAGAATTATGCCATTTGGAATCAGTATAAAGGTTAGAGATGCTGGCTGCTATATTCTTGGCTCAGATTCAAGTCCCAGGAAGGCATGAATATTTGTAAAATGTCTGTAGAGCATGGGGAACTTAAAATACTGGCAAGTTCTATCGAGTGGTTTTGGTGGTAGGGGAAGACGGATGGGAGATCCTCAGATTCATTTCCTGGAATGTTCTTCATCAAAATTGGGGCAGAATGCACAGACAGTGCAATGGGACAATACCTGTTCAAAAAATGGTGAAATTATATTGTCCTGCTCACTTTCATCTGTACTTGTGTCATTTGGGAAAGACAATTCTGGTAGTTCTGGGTCTTAAATGTTTCAATCAGCTAACTAAATTATGTTTTAATATGGGTAACGCATTAATAACGAAGGCTGTTCTAAGTCTTCTTTGAGTATGTGTAGATGTGCAGAGATTTACATTATGGCTTTTAGATTGTGTTTAATAATAATGATGTATAGTTTTGTTTTATTCTTAAAAAATAATATTATAAGTGGGAAGGCAGTTGTATAGTTATAATTGCTTTAATTTATTCAGGTCCTTAAATTTTTATATTGGTGGTCTTTAAAAGACCTTAATTTCTATTTAAAGAAATGTGTACGAATCCTGTATCATGATGGTACCTAAAAACAGTTTCATTCACTCCAAAGTATAGAATAACAGTCTCAGTATAGGATAACAGCAGTATTAAATATTGTTTATGTTTCAGATAAGTATTGTGCATTAATTACTTCTGAATTGGCTTCCAGATTATTTACTTCTGCATATAGTGGCTGGCATATTAAAACTTAAAAGTTGAGAATAAATAATACAACTTGGTTTTATTTTACCTTCAGTATGGCTTCGAAAATAAATTTCCTGTATAGTAATGCATAGCCACAAAATAATGGACTGATTTTTTAAAAAATAAATAAATAAATAAAAGGATTAACTTTTTTCATCTTTGAGCAGAAGTGTATTTTTTTCTAAGTGAGACAATTTGTTAGATCTTGTAGTAAATAATTTAATTTTGCTTTGTAAAATCTATTCATTTAAGGAAATTTATTCTTAATTTTAATGCATGAAAATGTTTTCTGGTGTGGACATATCTATATATATAAGTGTATATCATTTTAGTTACAGTGTGATAATCTTGGATGAGGCTCATGAGAGAACTTTATGCATGGACATTCTTTTGGGGATTGTGAAATTAGCTCAAAAGTTACGAGAACAGCAAAAAATGCTACCACTGAAAGTAAGACATTTAATTGCCTATAAGGCTTTCAAGTGTACACTTTTAAGATTTAAAAGCTATAGAATTGTTATGTATTGTTCATTGCTTATTATTATTTTAGTTTTTTATATTTCTTTTTATTTCATTTAATTACCTGTAAATTATTGTAATTGAGTTATAATTACGACTAGAAATGTTAGATGTTTTATTTAGTTTTTCAAGATAGCACAGAAGTGAAATTTTTCTTCCTCATTTTTTCCAGATAATAGTTATGTCTGCTACTTTAGATTATGGTCCCTTCTCAAAATATTTTGATGATGCACCTGCATATGTCGTCTGTGGTCGGGAATATAATATACAAGTGTGTATATGCATGCATATCTATGTATTATCTAATGTAGTAATAAGTTGTGATAAATTGTGTGAAATCTCTTAAATTATAATGTATGTAGTTTAATCTGTATTGTAATTGATATGTATTACAATTTGTTGTATTTCTTATCAATTGATAAGAGAAAACGAAGCGCTGAGTAAATCTTAACTAGACTTTCAAGGTATGCTGAAGAGTATATAATTCTGTAACACCTTGCCCATCTTTTGGGGGAAAGTGTTATGTGTTAAGTAGCTGACAGATAAATTAATTTATTTTCTATATGTTAGATTTTCTGTGTTTTACCAAAGAAATTAATTTGAAGAGCTGTTAGATTTTCTTTTTTTGAACCATATTAACATACTTAGCATACTTAGTTCCAATAACAATATACTGCAATATCCCGACAAAGTTGAATTTATGTGTGGATCCTTATTTTTCTTATTTTATTTATACATTTATACATGTAATTAATTTTCATTTGAAATTATTAGTGACTTTGAAAATGGTGATAAACAAAGTATTATTCTGCCTATATATTAAAACTAAATGAAATAATATGAATCAAAACAGTCATTTATGCTAAATAGTTTAAAACTACATCCTTTTTCAAAAACTGCAGTTGAATTATTATAGTTTTCACAGACTATGTAATTATTGTATCTTTATGTATACAGTGTTCAGTTATTTGCTATAAAAAAGCGAAGAACAGAATTTGATATTTTTATTTCTACTTTCCTCGACTGATAAGAATTCAGTGATCAGAGGTGTGGTATATTTTATAAAGTTACTAGCTGTTACCCGGCATACATTGCAATGCTACTGAAAGGGAAGAATGTGTTTCTGTTTTAATTCTGTTATGAAATTTTGTCTTTATGCATATTTTGCATGGGCTTGTGTCATCTGGTACCAAGGTTGATAATGGTTTGGGTGATGAGTTTAATTCTAGCAATTTTACTTTTCCACCCACGCAGTTCGTAGTACTTCATTCTGAAATGGAGGACTCTGCAATACACACATAACACATAATTTATTCATCATTCCAATGACCACATTTGGATGAAGATTATAATCGTAATTAGCATCGCAATGGAATGCACCAAGATTTAAATCAGTTCGCAGTGTTCGTCTGGATTGAGCAGTGGATCCACAAATGTTTTCCAGTTTTGCTTCTTGTTTTTCATCCATTTCAGACAAACGGGCTTCAGCAGTGTGTACTCTAACATTTTCCAGTCTTGCTTCCACTTGCACATTTGTTTCAGACAAACGGATTTGAGCAGTTCTTACTCGATTGTTTTTTTAGTCTTGCTTCCTGTTCATCTGTTTCAGACAAATGGGCTTGAACAGTGCATACTCACATGTTTTCCATTCTTGCTTTTGGTTGCTTATTTGTGTCTGAAGCTCTTGATACCTTTTTCTTTCATGCTGGAGTAATCAGTTTTCATTTTGGTGGTATAATTGATTTTATAGCGAAAGTAATGCTTTGACATGACTATGACAAATTCATTAAAAAAAAGCAAAGAAAATGCATATAATGCAGCAACATGCATGTTAATGCATGAAAAATGAAATATTTTATACTTTAGCTGAATGATTGGCAATGCAAAGCATTTAAATTGCTGAGTTTTTATAAAAAATTTTGTTAAATTAGCGTAAAATATGTGTACATAAAGAGTGCAGAACCCATGAGCTGTTTTTGAGAAATCTTATATAGACAGTGACCTTCCTCTTGTTTTGAAGGTCGAGTGTGGCAAGTTTCATAAAGATTGGAATTAAACTGTATATTTCTATAAAACATTCATTTATATATATATAAGGTTTAACTCCATTTTATGTACATATTTATTTTAATATTTTATATTGATACATATGAAAACTAATATCTTTATTATATAGTTTTCTTTTAAATAGTATTTTTCAGCTGTTGGTGTTATTTAATTAAAATAGAGCTAAAGGCTAAGTGAGACTTCTGCTTGGTGAATCCAGCTTACGTACTTTCAATCATTTCCATGTGTTATATAATTTTGTGTATTACAGTATCTTAAACTCCTAAAATCTAAGTACATTTTCTGTTAAGTAACTATTTAGAATGTTAAATAAGAGAAATTTAAAAATATAGCTTTTTGAACTTGTATATATCTGTAATTTTAATTTTTAAATGGAAAGTATTATTGATTGAGAAGTGTATTTAGAAAAAAATGTATTGCAAAATATAGACAAATTCTTCTTAAAATGTTTAATGTTATAGTTATTTTTTGTGGTGAAAAACATGTAATTTCATTTACTTGAAATATTAATCACTTTTATTTATGAATTAAATTTTTCTCTGTTCTCAATTATTTTTTATAGATATTAAATTCTCAAACAAAACAGGAAGGATTATGTACATTCAGCTTTAGTTACTGTTTTCCAAATTCACCAAAATGAAGATGATGGGTTAGTTTTTATTTTGGTATTGTTTCTATTCTATTTTAAATAATTCATATTTTCTGTTTGTTAATTAATTTCAACCATAGCTCTTCACATGTCACACCTCCATGTTTGTATATATGTGTATCTATACAGTACTTGCCATTTATTAAATTCATTGATTAATAAATTCAACCACTTATTACATTTAAATTTTCAGAATCTAAAACAGATGTATACTAATCAATAGAAAAACTGCTGCTTATTAAATTCAGATTAGCAAAAGACTGATTCTTCAGTGCAAGATTATCCTACTAGTATTTTCATAGTTTATTTAACATATTGTGGACCATGATTGTATTGTTCGGATATATAATACTTCAGCAAAATGAGTTTAACCAAAATTCCCTTTCCCCAGTCCCTGTACCCGTGAAACACTGTTTTCAGAGTTCTTTGTTGGAACTATACTTCAGAGGTAGAATTTCCTTATCTTAAAGTTAACAAAAAAAAAAAAAAAAAAAAAATCTTTTAGAGGTACTTTAAATGAGTGAGAATTTCTTCTTGAATACCTATATTAAGAATTGATCTGAATATGGGCATCTGGAAGCCCAAATTTGGAATTTGTTTTATTATCTATTTCCTATTAAAGTATTTCTGAGTTTTTGATTAAGAAGCTCAACGATTTCAAAGGGAGCTATGTCAACAATGTACAATTTTTTTTTTTTTTTAAATCTCTATGTGAGGCTGTGTATCGGAAGTTCTAAAGATATGTGTGAAGAACATGATATTTAATAAATAAAGGTGATGCACAAAACATTAAAAAAAAAAAAAAGCTTCTTTGGGCGTAATATAAAATCTGAAAGCTTTCAGACTTTTTATTTTTAGATTAATTAATAAATTATTTGTTACTGACTATTTTGCTTGGAAAGTGTAAAACTGATATCACAGTTTGTAGTACACAAATTACCATCTGTTAAACTTAACCATTCAATAAACTCAAATAATGTTTGACTGGAAGTGATTTTAATAAGTGGTAAGTGTTGTGTATGTGTGTATCCTCAATTTGAAGATATTCAACCATCATAGCAGCTTAAGGAATTTACGTAATGCCATCCATAAACTAAACAGTGTGGGCCTACAGCAAATGAGCCTTACTTTTGGACACAGAACCTCCTCTGCCTAGTAATAGAATGCATAGATCTAAACCTGAGTTGGGCCATTTCTCATGATTTATTTATTTGAATTAAAATTTTTGGTCATTGTGAAAAATTTGTTCTAAATTTCTCTGTCTCTCTCTATATATAATAAGCTCTGTGTATTGTAAATACTTGTTAATGACTATCTGTCATTGAATTCCTGTTTTATAGGGACATTTTAGTTTTTTGTACTGGACAAGAGGAAATTGATTCCATGGTACTTGAAAGCAAAAAAGTTGCTCTTGAATTGCCTTTAGGTTTGTCTCTATAGCTTTATCATGTATTATTATCAGCATATAATTTACAAAATATGTAATATATTAACTTCTAAAGATTCATTGCTGTAAAAATTGAATGATGACAGATTGCTAGTAAAATAATAAAACATTCTAAGTTGTTATAAAAGTAATTGAAATGTTGGTGTAATAACTAAATACCCTATAACAAGTTTCTGAGACAGCTGATCTGTCTACTTAATCATACAATCTGTTAGACCAAAACTGTAGTTGTGAGTATTTTCATTAAAAAAGTGATACCACAGAACAAGAGAAGGCAAAAGGGGGGTTACATCATTGTTGTTCTTTAATATGTAATTACTTAATAAGGTATTTGATCTCTTCGTGCCAAAATGAACACTTCCCATTGTTTTTCCATACATCATTTAAAACATGCATTAAAAATCTTGTGGGATGAGATTCTTCTAAGACCTGATTCAGATCCAGTGGAGGGTCATAAAGGGAACTTGCATGATGCAACTTGCTAGTCAGGAATATCTTAAATAGGCCTAAGAGGATTGTGGCCAGATGAGTATAGTGTCTATTTGTATAGTATCCTCAATTTGAAGATATTCAACCACTATAGCAGCTTAAGGAATTTACGTAATGCCATCCATAAACTAAACAGTGTGGGCCTACAGCAAATGAGCCTTACTTAATTCATTATCACTTGCCAGTGATAATTTTAATTATCAGTATTTAATTTTTTTATTTACTTTGCACTTCATTCATAATAACAAATTGTGCAAAGATTATATAAATATTACAAAAATTTTTAGGTATTTTTGTATGAAATTAAATTCACTTAGCTATGAAAGATGGCTTTAACCACTTTACTTCCAGCATATCATATATGGTACACTTCATATTTCCTCCATAAGCCCACTGTATCAAATGTGACATGGAAGTGAGGTGTCACTAAAGATTGAGTGCCTACTGCCGTGACTTTTTGATTATATCTCTGATCACTTAATAGGGAACTGGATTCTCCTAGTTTTCTATTTTTAGACTTTATTAAAAATATTGATGAGGAAAATGTTCAAATGATGAGGAAAATGTTCATTATGAATCAAATTTATTGAATTTGTTGTTCAGAGGCCAATATTTAGAGTAAAGAAGCCATCGTAGGACAACACACTTTATTTACATGAATAATGAATAAAAATATCACACAGGAAATCATATTGAGCATCACACAGCAAATAACATATCAGCATCTCCCTACGCTCGAAGCTCGAATGACGGATGTGTCGGTAGAAGAGACAGCTGCGCCATCATAATTAATATGCATGCGCATAAGAAAAAACGTTCGCTCGCCTCTACCCAACACACCCCTCCTGCGAGCAACATTTTTTCAATACAAAAATGAAATACAAACAATATATAACACATTACATTAAGAAATTAAGGAAATTACTTTCAATGTATACATTAATTTTTCTTCACTGACACTCTTAGTAAGAAAATCTGCAATCATATTATCAGTTTGTGAATATTCCAACTTAATAACATTGTCCTTTGTTAAGTCCTTCATAAAATGGAAACGTAAGTTCATGTGTCTGGATTTCGTAGATCTTGCACAGTTGATCCACTGGATGGCAGCTTGACTGTCTGTATTCAAGACCACTGCACCATTCAAAATTTGTTTACATTTTAATTCTGATAATAAATTTACAGTTCAAATAATATCCTTACAAATTTCAGAAATAGAAAATAATTCTGCTTCACAAGTAGACAGACTAACACTTCTCTGCTTACGACATTTCCAAGAAATCAATGAATCACCTAGTAAAATAGTACCACCAGAAAATGACTTACCATTTTCTGCATTTCCCCAGCTAGCATCAGCATATGCATTTAAAACTCCAAAATCATTGCTATAGAAAAGTTTTTTTATTTTTTGTACCTTTTAAATACCTTAATACCCTTTTAGCCAAAAGATAATGCCTTTTTTCTGGTACATGATTAAATTGTGACAAATAAGTTGTTACAAATGATATATCAGGACGCGTTCTATTCGCTAAATATAAAAGTTCCCCAATTAATTCCTGATACAAAATTGCATCAATTTTTTCATTTGTACATGAAAAACCTTTATCTGCCCCTTTAACGATTGGCGTTTTTACTGCTTTACAATTTTCCAGATTGTGTTTAGTCAATAAAGATTCAATATATTCTGTTTGAGACAAACATATACCATTTTCAAGTTTTTCTATTTGCATTCCTAAAAATTTTGAATTAGTATTTTCATGTAACTCAAATACATTTTTTATTTTAGAAACATATTTTCAAGCATTTCTTTATTATTACAGAATACAGCTAAATCATCAACATACAAACACAATATAAAAATGTTTTTGGTATCATTATAAATGAATATACAATTATCAGATGCTAACTGTACCAGCCCAAGTTTTTCTAATTCATTTTTTATTTTCATATACCAATTTCTACCGATTGAGGCAACCCATAAATACTTTTCTTCAATTTACATACTTTACCTTCTCCAATCAGTTTTTTACAACCAGGTGGAGGAGTCATATACACATCCTCGTTTAAGTCACTGTACAAGTACGCTGTTTTTACATCATAAAATTTAACAGTCAAGTTTAATTTAGCTGAAAGTGCAAGCAATAATCTAAAACATTCAATGTTAACACTACTGGTGAATATGATTCGGTATAATCCTTATTTTTTATTTGATTAAACCCAGCCGCTACTAATCGCGCTTTATATTTTACTTCCCCAGAGTCTCCTTCCTTCAAAGTATACACCCACTTACTTTTTACTAATTTTGTTTTTTTCAGGCCTCTCTACTATTTCCCACACTTTGTGTTTATGTAATGAATCTAGTTTCATTTTTCATTGTTTCCAGTTTTTTAGATTTGAGCATTCTTACTGAGATAGTTGTTTTGATTTGAGCCTCTCGGATCTTAATGGTATTTCATTTCCATATTTATTACTTTTTTCATAGCTATCAGATGTTTGGACTTTATTCCCCCTGTCATCACCCCCGCTACAACGGGCTCATGTCGGCGATTTCGAAATTCGATGAGTCATCATATTCGCTTGCTTGGGTATTTTCCGTAACAACCAATTCGAGGTGTGGTTTTTGATCTAATTCGTTTCCCTTTCTTTCTAATTCTTCAATATCCCAAGTTTCTAAGGTTTTATTTTTTCCCATATAATTACTACCCTTTAAAGATTCGTTAAATTTAACTGATCGTTCTTCAATTATTTTATCACTTGCTATATCATAAATACGATATCCTTTTCTTTCTCTAGCATATCCTAACATTATCCCTCTTTTCCCTGGTATGTCAAATTTGTTTCGCATCACTTTCGGAATGTGAAAGTATGCCACACATCCAAACTTTTTTAGATAGTTTAATTTGGGTTTTTTACCAGTCCAAATTTCTAAAGGAATTTTTTCTTTTCCTTTCCGGGGTGTTAAATTTGATACTTGAGTACTAAAATTAATTGCTTCTGCCCAGAATTTTACCGGAAGCTCACTCTCATGTAGTAATGTCCTAGCTCTTTCTAAAAGAACTCTGTTTGCCCGTTCAGCTTTCCCATTACTCTCACTGTTATATGGAATTGTTTTTTCATGAAAAATACCTGAATTAGCAAGATAATTATCTAATTGTTGATTTACAAATTCTAAACCATTGTCTGTTCTCAAACGTTTAATTCTTTTACCAGTTAAATTTTCATACTTAGCTTTAAATTTACAAAATGCGTCAAACACTTCACTTTTACTTTTAAGAAAATAAGTAAAATACATTCCAGAAAAATCATCCACTAAGATCATAAAATATTTAGACCCACCAATTGATTCAGTTTGAACAGGGCCACATAGATCCGAATGAATTAATTCTAAAATTTCTGAACTCTGATTAATGTCAATATTTGGATGACTTTTTCTAGTTATTTTACTTATGTCACAAGTTTCACACTTAAAATCACTTACATCATTAATATCAATGTATTCTTTCATTTTAAGCATATATTTTGGATTTAAATGGCACAATCTACTATGCCAAAGTTCATAATTATTACCAGTACAATCATTAGCAATGCAAGATTCAGAATTATAATATGGTTCTAAATTAACTTCAAGCCTACCGTTATTCTTAAATGCTTTAAAAAGTAATTCATTACACCTACTAAAAACTAATACAGAATTATTCCTTGATTCAATTTTACATCCTTTATCCATTAAGGCAGTGAGTGACAATAAGTTATTTCTTAAATCAGGAATATAACTAACATTACTAATAGTTAAATTAATAAAACTAGAATTCTTTGTATTTATAGCTTTTGCTTTAACAGTACCAATACCTTCTGAATATATTTTTGAGTGTTTACCTGCCTGGTAAATTTCCCTCACCTCTGGTGTAATATTCTGAAACCAAAAGAAGTCTTTTGCCATGTGTCCGGTTGCACCACTATCCAGCAACCAAATTTTATCACATTCATCATTTTTTCCACGCGTAAGTTGAAGAGCAAAATCACTTTCTCTTTCATCAGAACGAGATGAAACGTTCACACTTGTAGGTTGTGACTTCTTTCTTTCCTTGTTACCTTTGGATAACTCACTTCTTGGATTCTTGTTTCTGTAATAGCAGTCCTTCGCGATGTGACCAGGTCGTCGCCAAATGTAACAATTTCTTGGCTTATAGTTTTTATTCCTTCTTGATATGAATGCCTCTGCGTTGTTTCCATCAGGTCGTTTCCCATTCGTTGAATTGTGAACAGACTCTTCCTCACGGAGTATTTCGAGTACTTCATCAATTGTTTTTTCACGCTGAGTTTTTACAATTTCCCTAATTCGAGAGAATTTTCCACGAAGTCCACGGACTGTGTAAAACACCAGTTCCCGAGGAGATACATCTAGGCCTAGCGATTGGCACTTAGTTGCTATTCCTCTCGCTCTTGCGATATAATCATTAGCCGACTCATGCAACTTCATTTCTAAATTT